GGGGTCCCCCTGGCCTGATAGGCCCCACTGGCTATGGGATGCCAGGACTGCCAGGCCCCAAGGGGGACAGGGGCCCAGCTGGGGTCCCAGGGCTCTTGGGGGACAGGGGTGAGCCAGGGGAGGATGGGGAGCCAGGGGAGCAGGGCCCACAGGGTCTTGGGGGTCCCCCTGGACTTCCTGGGTCTGCAGGGCTTCCTGGCAGACGTGGGCCCCCTGGGCCTAAGGGGGAGGCAGGGCCTGGAGGACCCCCAGGAGTGCCTGGCATTCGAGGTGACCAGGGGCCTAGTGGTCTGGCTGGAAAACCAGGGCTCCCAGGTGAGAGGGGACTTCCTGGGGCCCATGGACCCCCTGGACCAACTGGGCCCAAGGGTGAGCCGGGTTTCGCAGGCCGCCCTGGAGGACCAGGGGTGGCAGGAGCCCTGGGGCAGAAAGGCGACTTGGGGCTGCCTGGGCAGCCAGGCCTGAGGGGTCCCTCAGGAATCCCAGGACTCCAGGGCCCAGCTGGCCCTATTGGGCCCCAAGGTCTGCCGGGCCTGAAGGGTGAACCAGGCCTGCCAGGGCCCCCTGGAGAGGGGAAAGCAGGGGAACCTGGCACAGCTGGGCCCACGGGGCCCCCAGGGGTCCCTGGCTCCCCCGGAATCACGGGCCCTCCTGGGCCTCCTGGGCCTCCGGGACCCCCTGGTGCCCCCGGGGCCTTTGATGAGACTGGCATCGCAGGCTTGCACCTGCCCAACGGCGGTGTGGAGGGTGCCGTGCTGGGCAAGGGGGGCAAGCCACAGTTTGGGCTGGGCGAGCTGTCGGCCCATGCCACGCCGGCCTTCACTGCGGTGCTCACCTCGCCCTTCCCTGCCTCGGGCATGCCTGTGAAATTTGACCGGACTCTCTACAACGGCCACAGCGGCTACAACCCAGCCACTGGCATCTTCACCTGCCCTGTGGGCGGCGTCTACTACTTTGCTTACCATGTGCATGTCAAGGGCACCAACGTGTGGGTGGCCCTGTACAAGAACAATGTGCCGGCCACCTATACCTACGACGAGTACAAGAAGGGCTACCTGGACCAGGCATCTGGTGGGGCCGTGCTCCAGCTGCGGCCCAACGACCAGGTCTGGGTGCAGATGCCGTCGGACCAGGCCAACGGCCTCTACTCCACGGAGTACATCCACTCCTCCTTTTCAGGATTCTTGCTCTGCCCCACATAACCCGTGGGGGGCCCTGCTGCCCTGGCCTCCTCTTCTTTAGTGGTAGAGCGACCTTTTCAGTTACAAAGAACCTCCATTTAAAGAAAAAAGACAAAAGCTAAACAGAGGCGGCCGTGGCCTTGGCCCGAGGAGACTGACTTGCTTTCTCCCTGCATGCAGGCTGAGATTGTTTCTGGAAGGGGCTGGCATGAGTTTCTTTCCCCCAAACATCTGTGCAGTGTCGGGGTTGCACCCAGTGGGCCCTGGGGCACACAGCCCAGCCCCTTGTGAGTCCTGGGCTCTGCTGGGCCCTGAAGGAGCTGAGGGGGAGCTTAGCTCCCCATCCACCACCTGGGGAGACAGCCCTTCCCACTGGCTCCCTGATGGCACCTACTGGAGGAATGGGGCACGGCCTCCCTCGCAGTCCTTGGCTGGGGCTCCTCCAGCTTCCCCTGGGACCTCCAGCATATGACAGTGGACTAAGGACTGTGGAGTTTCCCTCCAGGGGAAAGGGAGAAGACGAGACCACCAAGTTAGTGAGTGTGGACACCCTGCCAGGACTGCAGCCCCCATGGTGATGCTGTGGCATCAGACCTGTCTGTAGTGGGCACAGGGCTTGCTGTTGCCCTGGGAAAGGGCAGCCCCCTTTCACTGCTCCACTGGCAGCCATAGGGAAGGTAGTTTGTGAGGGCTCAGGGCAAGGACCTGGGGCAGGAGGCAGCTCTTTGCATTCATCCCCCTCCCTCCGAGGCTTCCCCCACTGGCTTTGGCTGTTTAGCTTGAGGGCAACACACAGGCCCCTAGGGACAGCCACAGGCCAGAAAGATCAACCTCTGTGAAGTGTCTAGCACAGATGGTGGTGGAGGCAGAATGGACCATCAGCAAACAGGAGCACTCCTCCCTTTCTCTCCTGCCACCAGCTGCAGGCTGGGCTGCTTTTCTCATACAAAATTGTAAGAGGATCCTTGCCACCCCAGCCAGGTATCCTCAAGGAAGCACACCTCTCGTTTGGCCCTCTGAACAAGGTGCACGTGAGCTCCAGGATGAAGTCGGCTCCCACTCGTTTTTCCTTAGTAAGAACCATATGGTGGGTGTATGTGTACAAAAGGGTTTCATCTGTGGGGGCTTCCTCTCCTTCCACTCTCTGGTTCCAATTTCCTGTTCTAAGCAGGATTAGGGGCCAGGAGGCTAAGGCTGGGAGAGAAAGGGTGCCAACAGGTCCCTTTGGAATGAGTTGGCCCTGGACATTTCTGCCGTTTTCCCCTATCAGAGCTCCTCTGCAGGAAACAGGCAGGATGCCCCCTCCCAACCCCTCAGTCCCGAGTTCAAGCTGAGTGGATAAAGCTGAGATTAACACTGGGAATGGTGGACATTCCTGCCCATGCAAAGATGGCCACTTTCCCCGCAGCTGCAGGCCTCGCCCTCAGCCCTCGCCAGGCCAGCCCCACTCCCTGTACCGAGTGTGACCCGGGGTCATTCTGTCTGTGACCGCATTGTACTGCTCCACGTCGGCTGTGTCCAGGCAGTCCACGTAAAACGGAGGATGGCTGCTGACTTCTGACTGGCTAAGCAGTGGGTTCCCTCAGGCTCCTTGCCAACCCTCCTCCCCTGCCCACAACTTCTCCAAACAAGGCAGGCTATTTGCTCACTTCTTCAAAAGGAGAAATGAAAACCCAAATCTGCCCAAGTGACACTTGAAAAGGTTTTGGCTGGGGTTCCTGGTGGATTTCTTACTACCTAACACCCAAGAGAACCAACTAAGCAGTCTCAAACCGTATCTGGTAGGGGTTCTATGCTCAACCTCTTCCTTCCCTGGGTCAAAGCCACTATCATCTGATGTGTTAGGGATGGGTTCTGATTGGCAGAAATTAATCAGCTTCCAACGGGAGCCCAGGGAACTAAGTAGGGTCCCAAGGGAGCCCCATCACTTCAAAAAACAAAAAAAAAAAGCTATTTTACAGAGCTGAGCTTCTGCCAGATTTCATTCCTCAAGCCTTTCAGGAGGGGCGGTTGGCGTTTCTAAAATGTTGATGGGATTTGAGTTGCAGGTGTCCACTTAACTGACTGGCTTTGATAAACAATGTCAGATTCTAACTATGAAAACGACATTACCATGTGCATTTTTATATTCTGATTCCTATTTTTTTTAAGATTAAAGTTTAAATGTTTTCCACTAGTCATTTCGCTTCTAACTTGGTTTAGGAAGCTTACTTCTCTATATACTTATCATGTGCCCGGTGTCGGGGCTCGTGTGCCTCCTCTTAAGAAGTGGGCCCTCCTCACCAGCTTCCTAACCTGGGTTTGTCACCACCACATCAGAAAAGCCTGATGCTCATGAGCTGCTGAGGCTGTGCACCATGCAAATGCCAAGAGGCATTTTAAGAAACCAAAGACAGGGGCTGGGCACGGTGGCTCGTGCCTGTAATCCCAGCACTTTGAGAGGCCGAGGTGGGCGGATCACGAGGTCAGGAGATTGAGACAATCCTGGCTAACACGGTGAAACCCTGTCTCTACTAAACATACAAAAAATTAGCTGGGCATGGTGGTACTCACCTGTAGTCCCAGCTACTTGGGAGGCTGAGGCAGGATCATCGCTTGAACCCGGGAGGTGGAGGTTGCAGTGAGCCGAGATCACACCACTGCACTCCAGCCTGGGTAACAGAGCAAGACTACGTCTCAAAAAAACAAAAACCAAAAAACAACCAAAGGCAGGTAGTGGCTGGAGCTGGGGGCGATGGCTCAATCTTTACTGGAACATTCCTGCAAGCTCTCAGGGGTAGCGGAGCATGACAGCTGGCTCAATAGTCCAAGGGCCAAGTTTCAACATCTGAAACAAATTATGAATGAAATCATGAATTTTTGCTCCTGAGGGCTGGGCTAGTGCCAGGCCCAGAGCTTAAGACAGGCTTGGGGAGCTGTCCTGGGCGGATAGCACCTGCTCACGGCCCGCCATGCTTGGCTGCAAAAGATCTGTCCCTGGCGCTGAGGCTCTGGGTGGCGCACCTGAAGCAATTCCTGTTTTAAGAGTCCTCAGCCGGGCAGAACCTCATCTTCACTAAAACAGATCTGCCCGACGGTGCTGAAACCTCAGGTCAGCTACAGACTGCGCATGCTTGGCTTTCCACTGAGGCTGGATGCTCCAAGAATGTCCCTAGAGTTTGAGGGGAGGCATCTTCTCCCATTCAATCTTCCGTTCTTCAAAACGGATGCTAGTCCTGGATACTTGGGAGGCTGAGGTGGGAGGATTGCCGAGTCTAGGAGTTTCAGACCAGCTTGGGAAACAGAGTGATACCCCATCTCTAAAACACGCCTTGTAAAACTTCCTTGCAGGGAAAGGCTTTTGACTGGTCCCAAGATACAGGAGGCACGCGGCACTCAGTCTACCCAGGGCCTCTGCGATGGTGCCCTCCCCACCCAAAGGTTGGTAGTCTGAGGACAGAACAGCCCTCTGGATCTTTCTACAGGGTTCCTGTTCCTGGCCCAGCCAGGCCAAGCTCCTGTTTGGGGAAGTCGGGCTCTGAGAACAGAAAAATCTGGCTTGTTCCTACCCACTGCCTCGGGCAAAGCAGTCGGCCCAGCAGCCTGGGCCACTCTGAGTGATCTCCAACAGGAAAAGTCACCAAACCATGCCTGCTCTGCCCTTCCTGGCTGAACACGCAGCCGGCTGGAAGAACAGAGGAAATCTGCCTGGCAACACAGCAGCTCATGGCCTTGGGGCTCCAGCTCATAGGACAGTACAGCGCAGACAGAAGCACTAGGCTTGAGAGGTCAGGCTGCCTGGGGAGAATCCATCCAGGGCAGAAGAGAAACAGGAAACAGTGAGATTTACCAAAAACTGTTTATTGCTGCGACTTCCACTGGAAGCTGTTAATAACCCACATGGCAGCCAAGAGCCAGGTGTGACCTAGATCAGCTGGATGCATGCGCCTGTCCCTTCATCCACACAACCTGCTGCTCGGGGGCCCTGCTAGGATGCGCTTGCTGGAAACTGGCAAAACCCAACAGGGAGAAATGATGCTACTGCACATCATTTCCACCTCCCCACGTCACATCTGCAAGATAATACAGGAACATGCCATCAGTACCCCTCCAAGATAAACGCGCCTGGACCCCTCTGTCCTACTGAGGAGCGGGAGTGCCCTGCAGCAAACCAGACAGCCAGCAACAGCGAAGCACCAGTCCCATGCTCGCTGTTCCAGTGACCTCCCCTGAAGAGACCCCAGCCCCACTGGTGCACTCAGCTCCACAATGCAGGAAGGGTGGGGAGCCACACTCAAGGAAGCTCAGGGTTTCTGTTGATCTGAGCTGTAGTTGGTCCCCGGGGACTTGGCAGAGCCCCAGCAGCTGTGGCTCTCATGAACTCTTCTGGAAGACACGGTGCAGGCTCCGGGCCAGGACGTCTGTCTCCTCATAGCCTTCACAGCTTTGCTGCCAGCTCTCTGGCACCTGATCCATCCCATAGTAGGCACCAGCAATGGCCCCCGCCATGGTGGCAATGGTGTCTGTGTCCCCACCAAGTGAGATGGAATAGATGAGAGTCCTCTGGAGGCTATTGAAGGCAGAGGGGATCTCAGGGTCCGGCTCCATGCAGCGCAGGAAGCAGTAGATGGCAGTGGGCACCGACTCGAAGGCAGCAATTCCATTCCCTGTGGGGAAGCCAGGTTAGAGGGGCTCCATGCGCCCCCAGGCCTCCTGCCATTTGACACAGCCGCACTCTCAGCTTCAAGCAGGCTGTGACTAAGATCTCAGGCTTTACAGTTAGACCACCTGGGTTCAAATCCTGGCTCCACCACATACTGGCTGCATGACTGGGAGAGTTACCCAGGGGACTGCTAAGCGCTTCCTGCCCTCAGGTTCAACTCCTTATGCGGAAAGGGAGTAACGTTAGTAACTCTCTCACGGGGCTTTTGTGAGGATGAAACGAGATCATGTCTGTAAAACATTCTGCACAGTGCCCAGTATAGATGCTAGATAAATAATGAGCCATTATCAACATTTTTACGACTGGTGGCCAGCTGCCATTTCTGGGGACACTGATCCATAAGGCTGAGGGTGCTGTAGCTTCAGAGCAAGAAGCACTGAGCTCAAACCCTGCCATGACCCTATGTGTCACAGCACCCCGGAGTACAGTGTGACAGCAGGCATGACTCCATATTCCCCTCCCCTCCCTGGCCCAAGGCTGACCCTGAAGGATGACAGAGCGGGAGACAATCCCAGGCAGGCGCACCCACCTAGCTCAGACACCACTTCTTCTCTGGTCACCGACGCCTGGTCTAGAAGCTCTCCAATCTTCTTCAGGCGGCTGGAGTACGGACGGTCCTCCATGCCCAATCTGTGTGTTGGGGGAGAGGTTTCAGGGAGGTCAGAGCTAGCAGGGCAGAGGCGCTGGGCAGGGGAAAGGGCTGCATGTGGCCAGGCTGCAGCCAGGCACAAGTGCCCTGACAAGAGGTGGAGAGGACTGGGTGTGAGCAGGCCGTTTTGTTCTCTGGGACCCTGAGAGCCCTGAAACACAGACAAGATCAAGAGGCTTCTGCCCATGCCTCCCTAGAGTCTGCAAATAAGGATGGAAGGTTTCAGTTTGTGGCAATGCCAGAGGCCCCCGGATCACCTACACACCCACACCTCACACCTGCAGCCCCATACTCACTCTCTGGCGTCCAAGACGGATTGGGCATCTCCCTCCAGCTCCTCCATGTGGCCCAGGAGTTGCTGGAGAAAGTGCTCGCTGGAAGACTCCCCCTGCAAGGCCAGGTGCACAGCCAGGGCCTGCAGGATGGCGCCATTGTAACCCAGGGAGGAGGCATGTGTCAGCTGGGCTGAGAGCCGGGCAAACTAGGGAGGAGGAGACCTGTTGTCACAGAAGTCCTGCTGCAGAAGAGGGAGGGGACGGCCCAGAAGCCACCCCACCCTTAGTACCTTCTGTACATCCTGGACACTGCTATAGGCCAGGGAGATACCAGCCACCCTCATGGCACCTCCATTGCCATAGGAGCCTTTCCCGTTAAACTGGGCCCGGGCAGGCTCAAAGACATCGCAACATTTGGGGTTCAGGAGCTTCTTGAAGACAGTGACTACTCCAGCACCATAGCCCCTGTCAGGGTCCTTCTTGTACTCCTGAGCAAATCTAGGGAAGAGAAGGGGAGACAGAATTGGGATTTACAAGACGCCTCTAAGGGTTGGGAGACAAGAAATTGAGACTGGTTTGGAAAAAGAGGAAGCCTTGGGGGCTTAAGGAGCCTACACCAGCAGTGCTGCTGTTTTAGCTTAGGAAGCTGTGCCAGCCAGACACAGGCTCCTGCGGAGGGTGGGGGCGTGGGCATGCACAGATGTCATTCCTCTGACCAAGGGGTGCAATAACTTTGCCCACCTGGTTTGCCTCAGCCCAGGACCATCCCCCTCACCTGTGAGCCATGTCCACCTCGTCAAAGGCCTCCTTGGCTAGCAGGGACTGCACCAGGGCTCTGGCCATGGCTGTGTCATCTGTGTAGTACAAGGCTTCTGTGGGGGAGAGGAGGGAGGATGAGAGCCTCCTGCTCACCTTTTATTTGTGTGTGTGTGTGTGTGTGTGTGTGTGTGTGTGTGTGTCAGAGTCTTACTCTGTTGTCCAGGCTGGAGTGCACTGGTGCAATCATGGCTTACTGCAGTCTTGAACTCCTGGGCTCAAGCTATCCTCCTGCCTCAGCCTCTCAAGTAGCTGGGACTACAGGCACACATCCTCACATCCAGCTAATCTTATTTTTTGTAGAGACAGGGTCTCACTCTGTTGACCGGATTTGTCTTGAATTCCTGGGCTCAAGCAATCCTCCTGCCTTGGCCTCCCAAAGAGCTGGGATTACAGGCATGAGCCACTGTGCCTGGCCCTGCTCACTGTTTATTTTAGTTTATATCTTTTTTTTTTTTTTTTGAGACGGAGTTTCACTCTTGTTACCCAGGCTGGAGTGCAATGGCGCGATCTCGGCTCACCGCAACCTCCGCCTCCTGGGTTCAGGCAATTCTCCTGCCTCAGCCTCCTGAGTAGCTGGGATTACAGGCACGCGCCACCATGCCCAGCTAATTTTTTGTATTTTTAGTAGAGACGGGGTTTCACCATGTTGACCAGGATGGTCTCGATCTCTTGACCTCGTGATCCACCCACCTCGGCCTCCCAAAATGCTGGGATTACAGGCTTGAGCCACCGCGCCTTATTTTAGTTTATATCTTATTATTTTATTTAATTACTTTTTTGAGACAGGGTCTTACCCTGTTGCCTAGGCTGCAGTGCAGTGGTGCGACCATGGCTCACTGCAGTCTCAACCTCCCAGACTCAAGGATCCTCCTGCCCCAGCCTCCTGAGTAGCTGGGATTACAGATGCACACCACTATGCCCAGCTTTTTTTTTTTTTTTTTGTAGAGACAGGGTTTCATCCTATTGCCAGGCTGGTCTCAAACTCTTGGGCTCAAGTGGCCTCTCCCAAAGCACTGGGATTACAATTGTGACGCACCGCGCCCAGCCCCTGCTCATGTTTTAGAGTTACCACATCTAAAATGACCTTAAGTCAGCTTCTCACTCCCACTTTCCTGGGCCCTGGGAAGCCTTAGGAGCTCAGCTGTGGGATTTTCAGCAATTCTTTATTCCAAATCAGTCACCACATCCTGCTGCTTTCTATTTGATGTATGTATGTATGTATGAGCCCACATCATGCTTTGATCTGCTGATTTCTGAAGGAAAACTTCCATCCCCTTCTGGCTGCCATCCTTACAGCTCATCTTTTTGTTTTTTTCTTTTCTTCTTTCTTTCTTTCTTTCTTTCTTTTTTTTTTTGAGATGGAGTCTCACTCTGTAGCCCAGGCTAGAGTGCAGTGGCACAATCTCAGCTCACTGCAACCTCTGCCTCCTAGGATCAAGTGATTCTCCTGCCTCAGCTTTCTGAGTAGCTAGGATTACAGGTGTGCGCCACCACACGTGGCTAATTTTTGTATTTATAGTAGAGACGGGGTTTCACCACGTTGGTCAGGCTGGTCTCGAGCTCCTGACCTCGTGATCCACCTGCGTTGTCCTCCCAAAGTGGTGGGATTACAGGCATGAGCCACCGCACCCGGCCTGCTTTTCTTTTTTGGAGACAGGGTCTTGCCATGTTGCCCAAGTCAGTCTCAAACTCCTGGGTGAGTCTCCCAGTAGCTGGGATTACAGGTGTGTGCCACCATACCCAGCTTGAAAATGATAGTTTCTAGATCCAGATCTCCTCCTACTTCATGTCTCTGTAGCACATCACCAGTGACCAGTGTCTTCATCTTGAAAATCTTTTCCTAGGTTTCGTTGATATCCATGCCCTTCACCTATCAAACTGTTTCCTACTCTCAACCCCTTCCCTCCCTCACTACCTCCCTCTTAATTACAGGTGTTCTCCAGGGTTCTGACTATGGCCCTTTTTCTTACTATTCCACCTGCTCTCCAAGAAGATTCACCTCCTCTGCTTGACCTCACACCTGCTATCTGAGTCGGGATCTGAGCCATGAGCTAGCTGACAGCACACGGGAAGGAAAAGGGAAGGAAGTTAGTTTTACAGGTAAGACAGCACATGCAAACGCCTGGCCTAGAGGAAGCATGGTGTGAGGAACCCAAGAGCAGAAAGCAAGGCCAAGGTTGGTGGAAGATGAAACTGCAGACGTCCGGGAGGGCCGGGCCACGTCGGACACATTAAGAAATGCGGCTCTGTACTAAGGGTAATGGGAAGTCACATCAGGGTTTCAGGTGGGGGAGGATGAAATTAGAGTCAGGCTTCCAGAGCACGCCCTGCGGGGTGGAAAACCCGATGATGGTGTACTAACTCCAGAGAACCGGGAAAAACAGGTCAAGTCGGCAAGGGCGGACAGACGGTACCCGGCTTAGGATGGTTCAATTTAAGTTTTTTTCGGCTTTCCGACAATGCTAACAGGCATTCAGTAGGCTCCTCGACGTCCGATGGGGCTTCGTCCAAATAAAATTGTCCAAGCTGAAAGCGCACAGTCTGCTTCGGGTATTTTCAACTTATGATGGGCTTATCCGGAGGCGACCCCAGAGGATGCGTAGGAGCCTCTATACACCAGACCAGGCGCAACCCGAGACAGCATCGCCCAGGCCTCCGCCCAGCACTGTTGCGGCTCCGGTGCTGCCACGCCCCGAGCAGGGGATGTTCGGGGCGAGACGCCTAAGGCCGGAAATCGCGCTAGCACTCGCTGAGGCCAAGCTGTTGTGGGTCACCCGGCCCTGACCCCAGCGCCCTCGGCAGCCATCCCCGCGCACCCCTGACCCGTCGTCCCCGGAGGCTCCACGCCCCTCCGGCCTCCCCCCAGCACGGCCTCCGACTTGTGCCCGGCCCCGCCCACCTGTCCGCTGGCTCCCGGGCGTGTCGGGGTCCGGTTCCAGGTTCTGGACGTGACGCAAGACTGACGTCAGGTCGACGGTGTCGTGGGCCTCGTAGAAGGAGCCCACGCAGTCCCCGAGCAGCGCGCCAGCCAGGCAACCTCGGAAGCGCGAGAGGGAGCGGGCCGCGCCAGCCCCTCCAACGCCCGCCGCCGCCATCACCGCCGCCGCCATCCGCGCGCGGGATACTCGCCACTTCCGGTGCCACCCGCGCCGCTTCCCTACTCCGGGCGCGTGGCGCTCCCCGGGGCCTGGAGTCTCCGCTCCGCCGTCCGGCCTACAGCGCCGCCCAGCGGCCCGGAGTCGCGGCGCCGTGCGGCTCCCGCTAGCCTGTGCTTTTGAGTCCCCAGTTCTTCCCGCTCCTCACCACTGGGCCAACTGGGCGGGAAAGCCACTATGGGTCCCTGGGGGATGACCACTGAGCCAGACCATTGGACCACTCCAGGCCACTGCCTCCCGCAGGCGAGCACTCCTAACTCCGCACCCCCAGGCGGCCCTCCACACCGAGGCTGGGAGCCCCAAGCCCTCCCTTTCCCTCTATGGGCCTCACGCATCAAGAGGGCGGGCAAGGGGCCAGCTGGGGCACAGCCTGGTAGCGGCCGCGCTGCTGGAGCCCAGGAGTGCTGGCCCAGCCCAGAGAGGGGTTCCTTGAGGGGAGGGGAAGGAACTGGATTTGGTACATGGACTTCAGGGGAGTGGTGTTCCCCATCTTTGCTCCTCCTTAGACAGGAGGGTGGCCAAGAGCCCTCTTCCTGCTGGCTACATACAGTGGGGCAGAGAACAGCCGGCCTGAGATCCTCCGCATTTATTCCATTCATTCCCTTCTCCCTGCTTCCACTGCCCACCCTACCCTGCCCTCCTCCCGCAGCCCTCCAGGGCTAGGCCAGCTCCAGCTGGCAGCTTTTGAGTGGACTCAGGGTTCTATTTGTGGTACGTGTGAAGGTGTCCACCTCGGGCACGAACTTCTCAGCAGGCACAGTCAGCTTGCGCCGTGTGTCCATGCACTTGGTGTCCAGCAGCATGGAGTTGGCCTTGCAGGCGATGTCAGCTTGCAGCCGGGCCAGGTGCTTGTACAAGGCGTCCAGTGCGTCCCTAGGGAGTGGCGTTGACAACCCCCAACCCCCTTGAGGCTGGGAGGCCTGGGCTGTGTGCACAGCCTTCAGTCAGGAGGACATCCCCAGGGAGCCAGCAGAGGCCGCACTGATGGGCAGCGCCTCACTGCCCCTCCACCACTCCCCAGACCTACTGTGCTTGCGCCAGCTTCTGCTTCAGGGCAGCAATGGTTGCCTGTAGCTGGTGAACCTCATCGGTGAGGCCGTACTGCGCCTGGAGGCCGCAGAGGGGTTGGGAGTTCCAGGTCAGCCACACTGTCCTTACCTGGGTGCTGCCGCGTGACAGCAGTGCCCTTGCTCCATCAGGAACATGAGAAAACCTTGGCCAGAGGCTCATGCCCCACTGGGACGCCCTCTCACCTGGTCCCGGCAGAGTTCCACGTTGGGCCGGTAGGTTCTGGCCTCTAGCCGGGTATGGGACAGCTTCAGGCTCAGGAACTTTCTGTGCAGATCCTCCTCTAGGTGCCGGATGTCCTCCTGCAGCTCAGCGATCTCCTCCAAGGTCTGCGGGGACAGAGTGACAGGTTTCCACCGGCTGGACTCACCATGTGCGGCCGGTCCAGGGCCTCCTGGCGGGGGCAGGTGGTTCCTCATCCCACAGCCGGACGTCCAGGCCCCATCACAAGCTCACATTCTTCTCTTGCCACTTGAGCTCACTGTACACTTTCTCCATCTCCCGCAGACGCTTCCTGAAGGCAAATTCCGTTGCGACTCTCTGGGCTTCAAGCTCATTGTTGGTCTGAAGGAGAAAACATAAACAGGGCAAGGCGAGGGTCTGCACTCACGGCCACCTGAGGATATTACTCAGGCGAGGGCATGGGGGCCACGTGCACAGCAGGGAACAGAATTTATGGGCTGAGCACACGCTGGGGCCATCCATGAGCCGTCACCTCAGCGATAGTTAGGGCAATGGTCTCCCTCAGCTCCCTAGCTGCTTTCAGCTCAGCCTCTGCTCTGTCCTTGTTGAACTGACTGAAGTTATCCCACTGCTGGAGTGTGGTGGAGCTGCGGGGGGCAGGGAAGATGGGCGTCAGGAGGGCGTGGCCTGGGAGGGGAGGAGGGGAGACTGGCTGAGACATTCTTCTTACCCATCAGGGACACGTGTGGGGTCGACCTTCAGAGAGATGTTTGGGGACTTGAGGTTAAGAGAGAGACAGCCTCTGTCAATCTCCAGTGTCTCCATTTTGCCCCGATGGTCGGAGTGGAGCTGCTGTCGGACTTCCTGCAGGAGGCTGGGGAAAGCGCAGACTCCATCAGGAACCATCTCCCAAGGCCCAGAGGCAGGCCTGGCCGTGCTGAGGGGACGCGGCAGGAAGAGGAGGCTGGGGTGACCCTTCCCAGTAGAAGATAATGGAGCTGCAGCCAATGAGACCAAGAGCAGCACAGCTGGATGAAAATGCTGACCTCCCCCACGCACCCTACACACCCTCGGGCACACGCACGCAGCTGTGCTCACAAAAGCTCCTACGCACACACTCACAGGAGCTACTCAGAGGTGGTGGCAAATGGGTGTCACCTCTCATGCTTCCAATCAGTGGATATTGACTGCCCCGGGCGGGGTCATGAGAAGTATTCTGAGCCCATGTCCAGGCAGTGGGAAAAGTGCTACAGTCGATTAGTGGTTTCTGCCACAGGCACCAGAGGGCCAAAACGTAGCATGAAAGCAGGTTGTTCCTCATCCACAATACCTGCCTTCCACACCGAAGGCCCACAGCCTCAAGGGCCTGTGAGCATGCCGGCGACCTGCCTCTCCCTTACCAGAGCTGCTCGACGGCCTGGCTGATCCTCTGTTGCAAGGCCTTCTTGGTGGCCTCAGTGACCTCCACCTCTTTATGCAGCTCATCCTCCACAGGGTCCTTCACCACATCAATGTCTCGCCGGCTTTCCCGCAGGGTCAGGCACTCAATGGCCACGTCCAGAGGCAGGTTCTTGGCCTGCAGGTTTTGCTCTGCTGACTCCTTCATCTAGAAAAGAGGGTGTGGCCCGGCATGGTGGCTCACGCCTGTAATCCCAGCACTTTGGGAGGCCGAGGCGGGTGGATCATCTGAGGTCAGGAGTTCAAGAACAGCCTGGCCAACATGGTGAAACCCTGTCTCGACTAAAAATACAAAAATTAGCTGGGCATGGTGGCGCGCGCCTGGAGTCCCAGCTACTTGGAAGGCTTGAGGCGGGAGAATCGCTTGAACTCAGGAGGTGGAGGTTGCAGTGAGCCAAGATGGCTTCATTGCACTCCTGCCTGGGCAACAGACTGAGACACCATCTTGGAAAAAAAAAAAAAGGAAGGAAAAGAGGGGATGGGGGGTGCTGGTGGAGCCATCCATGGGGAAGTAGCTCTTGTCCCCACTTTAGCAGGGGCCAGTGACTCGGATGGACATACCACTCATGACCCCCCCATCAAAGGCTTCTCAACCCAACCATGGGGAAGGAGGGGAGGTTTTGGCAGCAGCCCCCCGCGGAACCAGGTCCTGGCTCCCTGCCTGTGTCAGGGCGTCAATCTCGGCATCCAAATCAGTCAGACACTTGTCCAGCATCTCCTTCCACCGGTTGACGGTATCAATCCTCTCCGCCAGTCGAGTCCTGTTGTCATGTTCATCCCAGGGCCAGATAAAGAGGGTGTCAAGTGGTTGGGGGCTATCCCTTTGCCCACCCAGCTGAGTTCCCATCCCCAACCTGGTTGTTGGTCTCGTTGCGGAGCACCCGGGCCTCCTGGCGGATCTGATGGGAAGCATCTCGCTGCAGCTGGGCATTGGTAGACAGCAGGTAGCTGTTGGTGTGCCAGTCGGGCAGCTGGAAGCGCTGACCGGGCTTGACGCTCAGCGTGGCCATGGCACAGAAACCAGAAGGGTCAGAAGTCCCTAGGCCTGTTCGCAAACAGCACCTGCAGAGGGAAAACAGGGCTGCTGGAGACAGTTCAGGAGAACTTCTCCGGGATCGCATGCCCCCGCGCGGGACTGATTCCAGTCCATTTGCTGTGAGCCCCGCCCTGCTGGAAGCCTGCTTGGGACAGCCCTTGCTTTACTCAGCTTTGTGTGAGGCATTAACTAGGTTTCCCTCCCTCCTGTCCCCTGGGGGACACAAACCCCTGGACCTTGCAGGTCCTGGAGCAGGTAAAAAGGAATATTGGAGTCCGGGAAGCCTCGACGTGTGTGCGCAGTGCCAAATGCCTAGGAGGGAGAGGGATGGCAGAAAAAAAATAGCTCTTAATGCAGTTTCCACGCCTGCTCTGGGCAACCATGCCTTGTTGGGCTTCCTTTCCTTTCTTCCCCAGTCTGCCGGCCAGGCCCTGTGGGGGATCTAAAGGCAGGAACCCAGTTCTCTTTCCAGGGACGCGTGCTTATTGGCACTGGGGAGCTGCGGGGCGGCCCTCTTTTTATTTGGTTGCCGCCACGTCCCCTCCCCCCCACCGCCCTCGCCTTTTGTTGGAGGGGGAGGCGGGACCGGGAGGGCCCGGTGGGAGGAGTCCGGTTCCCCGCGGAGCCCCTTTCCTCCCCTCCGCAGGATGATCACTGACCCGGCGCGGAGGAAAGGGGCGCCCTGGCTCCCTTCGCCCCCTTACCTCCTCTCCCGCTTCGCCCTCCGCGCCCCCCGCTCTGAGCTCCAGTGTTTGGCGCCCCCGGTTGCTAGGCAACTGCACCTTCCTTCCCACCCCCCCACCGCCGACGCGGCCGCAGCGGCCACCGCGACCTGGGTGCTTCGCTTGGCAACCGCGGCGGCAGCGTCTGGCGGCGTCCCCGGAGGCCTTTAGGGTAGGCGAGGGGCGGCCGGCCGAGCCTGGGAGGGGTAGGGGCATCAGAGCAGCGCTTTCACTTGCTTTACAAATTAAATGAACTTTTGTTATTTTTTCAGACAGGGTCTCGTTCGGTCGCCCGGGCTGGAGTGCTGTGGCTCGATCTCGGCTTGTTGCAGCCTGGACCTTCCGGGCTGAAGAGATTCTCCCACCTCAGCCTCTCGAGTTAGCTGGGACCACAGGCGCGTGCCACCATGCCTGACTTAATTTAAAAAAGATATTTTTAGTATAGACAGGGTTTCGCTATGTTGCCCAGGCTGGTCTCAAACTCCTGGCCTCAGGCGATCCACCTGCCTCAGCCTCACAAAGTACTGGGATTACA